ATTCTCAAGAAAGACAATTATGAGAATTGGTGCAAGCAGATTAAGGTGATCTTCTGTTATCAAGATCTTTGGGATCTTGTGAAAGATGGAGTAACATCGCTTGGGGAGAACGCAACGGAGGCGGAAAAGGCTGCGCACAAAGAATTGAAGAAGAAGGATTATAAAGCACTCTTTATAATTCATCAGTGTGTTGATCCTGATAACTTTGAAAAGGTTAGTGATGTTGATTCAGCAAAAGAAGCATGGGAGATTCTTGAAAAGTCGTTTGGAGGCGCAGAGAAGGTGAAAGAGGTGAGGTTACAAACTCACAAGAGAACCTATGAGTTGCTTCAGATGGAAGACAACGAAAGCATTACAGATTTCTTCACCAGAGTTACGAAGTTGGTGAATCAAATCAAAGTATGTGGAGAAGCGCTAACAACGAAAGCAGTTGTCTCAAAGATTTTGAGATCGTTGGCTCCAAAATTCGACCACGTGGTAGTTGCCATAGAAGAATCGAAAGATCTGTCAGTGTTGACGAAGGAAGAGCTTCAAGGGACTCTTGAGTCTCATGAACAGAGGATGGCTGAGAGAGTTGTAGGAAAGTCGAAAGATATGGCTTTGCAGGCACAGACGGAAAAGGAGAGAAAAGGCAAAGGTAGTTGGAATGGCAACAAAGGAGGAAACCAGTCGAATCAAAAGAAATCTTGGAACCAAGGCAACCAAAGAGGTGGTGCTGCAGGAAGAGGTGGTGGTCGAAAGACAGACAAAAGCCACATTCAATGTTTCAATTGCCAGAAGTATGGTCATTATGCTAGTGATTGTCCAGAAAGGAAGAGAAATCAAGAGACTGATGCAAAGTTGGCGAAACATGAAGAAGAAGAAACGTTGTTAATGGTTACAACAAAAGATGAAGAAAGATTCCAAGATCAGTGGTACTTGGACTCAGGATGCTCATCACACATGATTGGAAGGAAAGATTGGTTTGTCAACATGAAGCCCTCGTCGAAAAACACAATGAAGTTTGCAAATGACAACACTCTAGCAGCTGAAGGTGTTGGTGATGTTCTGATTATGAGGAAAGATGGCAAAAGGTTAATAATTTCCAATGTGTTGTACATACCAGGCATGAAGAGTAACTTGCTCAGTATAGGACAGCTTGTCGAAAAGAACTACAAGGTAGTTGTCAAAGACAAGATGATGAGAGTTCTCGACGCAGGTGGTAGATTAATCTTGAAGGCTCCAATGTCTCAGAATAGGACCTTCAAGATTGGACTCAATGTGATGGAGCATAAGTGTCTAGCAACTGCAGCCAGCAGAGATGAGTGGTTATGGCATTTTCGACTAGGTCATCTCAACTTTAATGACATCAGAGAACTGAAGAAAAGAAATATGGTTTCAGGATTACCAGAAATCGACATTCCAAGTGAAGTCTATGAGGAGTGTGTTCAGTCGAAACAACACAAGAATAGCTTCAGCAAGGATGCAGGAAGGAAGTCGAAGGCAATACTTGAAGTCATATACTCTGATGTATGTGGTCCAATCCAGGTGGATTCAATTGGTGGCAATAGATACTTTGTCACATTTATAGATGATTACAGTCGAAAGCTGTGGACTTACCTCATCAAGAAGAAAAGTGATGTGATTGAGGTATTTTCCAGATTCAAGTCCATGGTCGAAAGACAGAGTGGTCGAAAGCTGAAAATTCTGAGGACTGATGGTGGTGGAGAGTATATGTCGAAAGAGTTCGATACACTATGTGTAAAAGAAGGGATTGTACATGAGGTGGTGCCACCCTACACTCCATAGCAAAATGGGATTGCAGAATGCAAGAACAGAACCATCATGAATATGGTGAGAAGTATGTTGAATGGAAAGCATCTACCCAAAGAATTATGGGGAGAAGCAGTTTCGACATCAACATATATATTGAACAGATGTCCGACGAAGAAGCTTGAAGGAATCACACCAGAAGAATGTTGGTCTGGTGTCAAGCCTAGTCTCAGTCACTTAAAGGTGTTTGGATCTATAGCACATAGACATGTGCCAGATCAGTTGAGAAGGAAGCTTGATGATAAGTCGAATCAGATGATCTTGATAGGATATCATTCGACAGGAGGTTACAAGTTGTTCGACCCAGTGCATAAGCAGGTAGTGATCAGCAGGGATGTGATCATAGATGAGCTTAAAGAATGGGATTGGACTGAGAATGCCAAGAAGGATTCAATGAGAATCTCTTGTGAAGAACCAGCCACTGAAGTTGAAATAGAAGTTCGACAGGAACCAGTTGCAGATGAAGCAGGTTCAAGCAGACCTCGACGAACAAGACACATGCCTGCAAGGTTGCAAGAATGTGTAATCACATCAGATGATGTAGTCGATGAAGAGGGTGAGCTGGTACATTATGCTTTCTACGCAGATGTCGAACCAGTTAATGCAGCTGAGGCATTGAAAGATTCGAAGTGGGTGAAAGCAATGATTGAAGAGTTAGAGTCCATCGAAGTCAATGATACCTGGTCACTTGTCGAATTTCCGCAAGGCAAGAAGGCAATTAATGTGAGGTGGGTTTACAAGGTGAAGGTAAATCCTAAAGGAGAAGTAACTCGACACAAAGCAAGACTTGTGGAGAAAGGATTTCTTCAGAAGGAAGGAATCGACTTCGATGAAGTATTCGCACCTGTTGCTAGAATCGAAACAATCAGGTTGGTTGTTGGTCTAGCAAATATGAACAACTGGCACACATGTCAGATGGACGTGAAGTGGGCCATGATGAATGTAGACAGTTTAGACACAATGAATTAGGTGGTGTGTTAAATATAATTCATTATGTAAACAGATTAGATTTGATATCATATGATTAGATTTGATATCATATGATTAATTTGATATGATATGATTAGATATCATATGATTAGATTTGATTTAGAATATTTTGGCCCTTTTATATTTTGGGCTAGTGTAAACCTAAAACTATAAATAGGGTGCCTTGCTTTGTATTCTACATCACAACAGAACAGATTTCACAGTTGCAGTTAGCAAGTGAAAGTTCAATAAGAAATCCCACAGTTGTGGGTAACACATTCTCTCCAAATACTTCTTCTCTCATTCTTCTCTTTCTTGTTTGTTATTCTTCTTCTCTTTTGTTGTTCTTAATAATTACTTGTTATTACCATCATTATCATATAGTGGGTTTGTTCATCAATCTTGAGATCAAGATTGAAGGGAATTCTTCATAGGGTGTGAGGTGAATTTCCAACATTTCAATTATTAAAAAAATTGGGGACTTTCCAGATATGCATATCCGGATAGACCCTTATTTTTTGAAGAAAAACAAGGTGGATCCAAATGAGCATCTCTGAATTATGTCCTGATTATATGATATGGTTTGTAAGATCCTTATTTATCTACAACTTTTATAAATAGGTCTCTCATTCTATTTTCTTTACAAAAATTAGAATGAATTTCTATCTCCATCTTGCATTTATGTATATATCAATGGCGCAAATTCTCTACTTCAGTTTAGGGTATTTGAGGACATACTTCTCGTCGATCTAAAATTCGAACTGAATATTCTTCTGCGATATCAAAAGATCAGAGAGTTGTCAATCTCAAGTACCGTTTATTCTCGATTGACAACGAAGGAAAGATACGGTTCACCATGCTTGAACTAAAGATGGGTGGTGATTTAAATGTCATGTGGAGTACCTTTTATCGTTACTAAATAAAGAGTCTGATTGAAGTCGATACAACGATTATAAGATCAAGTGAAAATATTTTAAGAATATTGCAACGTCCTGAACCACCAGTTTATAATTAAATGTAATGTTAAACTTATATTAGCATTAACTTTTATCTACATAATATTTATTTTAAAGTTAATTTATGTTCCATTATTTTGTCATTATTTCTTATTTGCCCTAACAAAGCATATTCGATATGCATCTCCGAAAAACTCGCTAAATATTAAACTAAATGACGTTATGGAGATGCATCTCCAAATTAACTTTTAAAACATATAGATATTCATCTCCAAATTAACCTTTAAAGCATAAGCAAATTTATCTCCAAATTAAAAATGAACCGAATAAATTTTTTTAAGAAGTGTGTGTGAAAAATATATGTTTAAAGATATATCACATTTGAAAAAATTTCATAATAACGGAGGAGAACAAGTAAGGGTGAATCACCCCTAATTAATCAATGATCCTTTTATAAAAAAATAAAAATAATAACACTAATGTTAAAAGTTGTGTCGAGATTTTTTTTTCTTTCAAAAACCATGTCATTTCTAGATATGTACGTCATGTTGTCAATCCATATTTGCAATAAAATGTGATTGTATGAAATTAAACAACTTAACATGATGAAACTGGATTTCATGTATTGTCGTGCCAAATTAGGTCAAATTCGAACAGCAGTGTAAAACTAGCTATGGTGAAACAAAATTCTCTTAGCAAGCATCTATTCACTAAGTCGGTTGAAAATCGACTCAGGAAATTCAAATCAGTGAACCCTGAATAAAAAGAAAATTCACATTTAGCTAATTCAATTGCTTAGTGAATTTGTGACAAATACAGGTTATGCCGTTAACACAAAACAAAAACATTTCTAATATATTATTACAAGTACCTAAAATATACATCGCAAATAATAACATGAATGGAATGTAAAATTGAGTTGTCTCCCAACAAGTGTTTGACCGTAAAAATCTACCTCCATTTCTAGTCCTACATCCAAATTAAAAAGTTCTTCCTAATATCGTAATAAATTAAAGCATCAATTAATTAAAGAATTAAGATAATGAAAAGTAATGATAAAACAGAGGAAAAGGAGAAGAAAAATATCAAAGTTCTTATGTTTTCTTTTCATTATCATTGGCCAGCATTCACACAATTATGGTAATCATAAGCTGAAATATAAATAGTTGTAATGCACACTTCAATGTTTTGTCAATTTTGCAACGAAAATCTAATGAACATAAACAAAAATCACAACGAGCAGAATGCAGTTGAGAATGGTATCTACTTGAAGAACTCCATAACCCAAAAAGTATTAACATAACATTCATATCTAATGCCACGAAATCCAGCTCCATTTGCTAAATCCATGAATTCTTGCTCAGTTCGCTCTTTCCCACCTGGATTTTGAGTCATCATCAGAACATCCGATTGGGCCGCAAACTTCCAAGCAGCATTGTTTTCTGGTATAATAGACATAACTGTCTCCAAAACAATCACCTTTCCATCATCAGGAATAGCACCATAGCAATTCTTCAAAAGCTTCAAGCACTGCTCATCACTCCAGTCATGAAGTATCCACTGCACAAAATTTCAGAATTTTTTTGTACAATAACATATCAGGCTCGGGTAAGCTCTATAAAATATGAGCCTAACAATGCATAAAACTCATCCAAAATGCATATTTTATATTTACAACGCAATTCACAATTCTGGGCTATAGTAAGCCTGAAACAACAGTCCTCATCTGCTGATAGCATTTCTTCTGGAATTATGGAAACACTAAGCATATTTGCTTTATGCTTTTATTTTTCATTTCTATTTTATTTACTCTCTACAACTATATACGATAAATCATGAAAATTATGTGTACGAAAAAATTTCAGTATAGTCTTTTATCTCTTTTATATATTGCATCTACAATTCTCCCTCTCATGTCTTATGCCACCACAACTTTGTCTACATGATTGTGCAAAAACCCAAGATTATACCCAAAAAAATGTATTAAAGGACCCCTGATGGTCTCTTACAACTCCTCAACCAGCTGCTACTTTATCTTAGTTAAGAGAAAAATCCATCAATGTCCTACACCAAGGGTTAGTGCGGAACAAATAAGACCCTTTGAGCATACTTATTTGTGTTTGCATATCATTAATCATGATCCCAGTAGGTAGAGTAGTCTTTATCTAGGACGGAAGACTCAGACTAATAATCTGATAAGATACTGAATTCTCATATGTGTGATGACCTAATCATCGGGCTCAATCCACATCAGCACAGCTTCTAGAAGCAGTGAGAATAAGAGTCGGTTGGAATATTCCCTGATTTTAAGGGATTTTTTGTTATAAAAGAGAATGTAGGGGAGTGGAAAATGCATTCAGAAATATTGTTAGAAAACAGTTAGGAGATATTTCTCTCTGGATTATGATCCTAGCTCTGGATTAGGATTTCTTATAACTCTGGTTTACTTTTCTTTTTTCTGCATTTCCACCATTGCAAGAGCTTTAAGCTCAACTATTTGCTATTAATCATACACTTAATTACCTGTAAATTCTGGTTCCTATCATAATAATTGTGAAAAATCTATACCAATAACCACTACGTTGATTCTCTGAGTGCTAAACTGCCATTCAATTTCAAGAAGTGTCACTAATGCTTCTAAACTATATGGGGGAATAGATCAAGTAGCCTACCAACTACGTGACCAATAATGATTCCATATATGGATACAGAATTTCATTTTAGAACTATCTCCAAGCCTCTAAATGATATTCTCTTGTATCTTCAACCAGTCTTCACATATACATACCTTGCCTTAGTTTAGAGTCTCCTTGTCTCCTCCTCCTGCCCGTGGTACATCTTATTCCCATTTTTAGTTTGATTGAAGCACTTTGACCCACAAATCCTCATTTGGCATATGATTTTCATCCTGCTAGCTGAGTTCATTTGTTGAGCTTGCCGTGAACCTCTTTTCTCCTTCAGCTGATAGTCTACGTTCCAGTTAACTGAGATTTTGTTTGGGAGTTTTGTGGGGAGGGGCGAGAGGGCTTCGAAAAAAGAATTTCTTAAAAAATAGAGAAATCTTTTATATTTTTTGAAAGAATGATTTTGTATCTAATGATAAATGAGTGTTTATCATTAACATATTTTTATACTATAAAAACATAGATTATATTTAAACAATTTGTCTAAGCCCTCCAAAAACCTCCAAACCCTTCCTCCAATACAATTTTTTAGTTCCACAAATTAGAAGGGTTTTAGTTTTTGAATAAAAATAAATCCCCCAACACCCTCTCCATCTAAATCCTTCTAATCTTTTCACTCAGTCCTTCCCTTTTTCAAAGTCCTCCCCTCCCTTCCCCTCCAAACTCCCAAACAAAACCTAAGTGAACATTCCTCTAAGGCTCTAACGAGAAGACTACCTTCCAAGAGAAGAATGTCCTCTTTTTGTCAAAGATCATCACATAAGGAACTTGACACGAACATTATTTGCATAACATAGGCCAGTTATGTGCCAACAAATGATTCAGCGGAGTTACTCTACCAGCCGAAGCAATACTCTTTGCCTTCCAACTGCTTAGAAATTGGCAAGCTTTATCAAGGATACCCTGAAACATCCTTGGTCCTTCTCATCACCATAAGAGTATACTCAATCAAAATAATAATTAAAACTATTTTGGACCTCTTAAAAAACAAGTAAATAATTCAATGGATGTTATAAACCACCTAAAAATAAGCTAAAAAACAATTAAAAGAGAACAAACATAGTAATTAGAAATTAATACTAATAGACAACTAATACTACTGTTAACCATTCAATAGACGTTATAAACCACCTAAAGACAAGCTGAACAACTAATAGTAATAGTGATAATTGTTGATAAGGAAAATAATTTTGAGTGTCGAGTTAAATTAAACAGGTTTTCTCTTTATTTAAATTTAGAATATTTTTCATTCAAAGAAAATACTATCCCTTAATCATCATTGCCATTAATTTTTCATAGGAAATATAAAGGACTGGTCACCTAAAAGAAAACACAAACATCCACTCACCTTCATAAATATCGCATCTGCTTTAGGCACACTTTCAAACATATCTCCGCCAACGTGTTCAACTCCTGCCAACATAAAGTGGTTTTTTCACAATTGATATATATTATATGCCTAACATATAAACTAGATTTATTTTTATCTTTCAACAGGATTAGAACTTCTAAAAGATCATACCAGGATAGGAAGGGGCATGTTCAATGACATGAGGCAAGTCGAAATTGATACCCTTTATATGAGGGTATTTTGAAGTGATCAAGTTAATGCTGATCCCAAGACCACCACCAACATCCACGAGCCTTTTTACTTCCTCAAATCCTCTGTAGCATTCTAGAACCTTCTTCATTATTATAGTAGAGTGATTGATCATTGCTGTATTGAAAACTTGATTGAACCTCGAGTCTAAGCTGGGATACTCAAAGGCATTTGTACCATGAACCCTGTTAAATGGAATACCCCCTTCCCTAATTGAATCTTTAAGCTGGGACCTACAAATTAATAACCAGTTATATATCTCGCCCTTCTAAATAAAGAAACTACTGAATTGAAAAAGTCTCTATTGAAAGACACAATGATTGAGTAGCTTTTCCTTAAAGTATTAAACTCATCTTTATTTCATAAGAAATTACCAAACATCAAAAAACTAATTCATCTTCACACAATGAATTTGAACTCACTTCTCATTAATATAAGAATGTATGATTAGTTAGATGGTAAATTAAAGCACTGAACTCTGAGGAATGAAAATTGACTACATAAACGTTTTACATTGTAATGTCTCTAAACATAATGTTGCTTTAAGCCACTATATAACTACTATTTAACTAAACTATACCTTCATAAATTAATTCTAGTGTATGTTTGGTTTCACAGTTGGAGCACTTAGAATTGATTCTAGATGTATAGAACTGATTTTGACATGTTTGGTTGCTCTCGAGTAGAATTGATTCTGCTTTCCAGAACTGATTATACTTAAATCTAGAATTTGTAGCTGTTGAATCTAAACGTAATTTACACTGAAATTTACTGTTCAACTCACTTTGGCAAAAATTTATCCAAACATAAATCACTTTACCTTCAACTCATTTTTAGTCCGAATCAATTATTTTTCACCGCATAACCAATCACACTCAACATAAAAATAAGAACAAAAAACTAAGCAAACAAGTTTGAATTGTGTAAACAGTTTTCACTGTATCACTCTGTACTAACAGTGTGTGTTTGGTTCTACCGAACTCCGAAATCATTAAAACAGAAACCTGTGTAATTTACTAAGGCAGCAGGCATTAGTTAAGGAATTAAGTCAGAAATATGTATATATACACACACTATATGTATACAATTAGGGTAAAAGGAATAAAATCAGTTTATAGATACATGTTTATTATTTTACTTCAAAACCTAGAGCAGATCCAGTTTACAGAGAAACAAATCGCAGTCACATGAATCCAGTTTGAAACACTTGAAAATGCATGAATAATAGTGAATTACCAGCTTTGTAAGAAGATCTTATCCTGATGCAATGCAATCAAAGGAGCTAACGAAACACCATCGGAATTAGGAGCAAAGAATTTAGCAACAGGAGTGATAGAATAGAGTCTATTAAACGATCCAAGGTCTTTCTGATCAGGAACAACGGAGCAGTTAAGAATAGAGTGAGAAGCAAGAAGAGCGAGAATTCGATCTAACATTTTGGAGGCTTCGGGATTAGTGCACGAAAGACGAGAAGCAATATCGTCGGCGGAGAGTGGAGAATCGGAATCGGAATTTTGTAAGACTTGGAAAACACCGAGTTCGGTGGCGGAATGAAGTGCCATGGAAAGAACGACGGAGTTGCAGAGCTGAACGGCGTAAGAGAAACTTTCTTCATCTTGTAACTCTTGTTGCGCCATCGAAGATGGCTTATGGATCGATCTGCAGTCAACTTTTTTTATTTTTTTGTTTTGTGATTTTCTAAAGCTTATATTGTTATTTATTTACTACAACATCAATCATTTTCCTTAGTCCTTATCGAATTATATTGTCTTTTATAGTTGAGTTTACTTTTTAAATTTTAATAAAAGGATTTTCACATGTGTTTTTTTTTTTTGAATAAAATAAATTTTATTACATTTCAAAAAACAAGCACACTTAAAACAATATTAAGATGTTAATATGTTTCTTAGGTTTAGGCCTAGCTCAACATCTATAGAGAATACAATCAATAATTTTGTGATCAACATTGATATTGTTAGTTTTCCCACCAAAGCAATGATGATTCCTCAATCTCCACACTTCATAAATTGTCTATGTGAAAGCACACCTCAGAATTATGGATTTCCAACTCTTTCATTTGCTAAACCCCAACATCCAATGAAGTTCATCCTCTCATTTTTTAGACCTATGGTCAATATGAAGTCATTGAAGAACATGATCTCAAATATTTTGAGTAAACCTGCAGCCAAATAAAAAGGTGATTCAAGGATTCAACCTCATCACAAAAGCAATAGCATGTATCTTCAATAAGGTCAATCTTATGAAGCCTCTCTTTTGTGGTTAACCTCCCATTACAAGTTAGCCAAATAATGAAAAGAGATCTCGGGCAAGCTGGATTATCAAACCAGTTTTTTCTCTAATCCACTTTGTCTCCTTCACCTTTTATGAGTTGATAGAACTGTCTAACAGAAGTTTTTTCCTGATACAGAAGGTAACTCCAAGTTTGAGTGTCAAAGATCCTTTGCCTTTGTTTCAAAATAACCTTGAATATCCAAGACCAATTAGTCTTGGCTGAAATTTCCAAAATTTCATTTTCTTTCATATAGTAGCAGTGGATCCACCTTATCCATAAGTCGTCACTTTTCCTACTAATATTCCAAAGGAGCTTCAGCAATTGAACAACCTTCCAATCCTTCATATCAACTAAGTTTAAACCACCTTGATTCTTGCTTGTGCAAACCTTTTTCCAGGAAATGAAAGCTTTCCTTGAAATATCCCCACTACCGGCCCAAAGAAACGAGTGACATCTAGCATCAATTTGCTTGATCACTTTCTTAAGAAGAGGAATCACCTGCATTCAGAATTTGGAAATAGCAAAAGGGTGCTCTTAATTAACTGCAGCCTACTTGCAAACCACAACATATGAGGAGACCGATGATTGATGTGAGTTGTGAGCTTTTCCACCAGGATGTTGCACTAAGAGATAGAAAGTTTCTAGCTCGGTAAAGGGATGCATAGGTAACGAAATGGCAGGATACTTTCCTTAAAATATGTGATCCGGGATGTCTGCTTTCACACTGTCATGAGTATTTCCAAAGTAGATATTACACTTCTAAGGATTAACAACTAGACATATAACATTAGAGAATTGATTGAACACATTCATAGCCAGCTACACTGAAGTAGCATCACCTCTAGTAAAAACCAGAAGGTCATCACCAAAACATAAATGAGCAATCTTTAGTTTATCACATCTAGAATGATACTTGAAATTGGGATTATTAGCAAGATTTTCAAAAGATCTATGAAGATACTCCATATTGTCTTGTTTTACTTTAAACTTTTTTTATTTTAATTTCCTAGTCCACGAGATATTACTTTTTGTGCAAATTATAGATGATTAAATTTATGAGTAAAATATGAGAAAGAATGAATGAGCATAAATTAAGAAAATAAACTTAAGTCATTAAGAATTAATCTGCTATTATGTCCGGGAGATTGACCATGGAAGCGAATTATCTATTAAAACGGGTGATGGAACAGTAACGAATGAACCAACAAGACTTAGACTTAATTTTTATTGACTTGGTGTTAGTCTGAAATTTCAAGTTGAAGAAAATTACTAAAGGAAGGCTATGTTAAAGAAATACAAACAGTTAGCATTTACTGACAAGCTTCGACAAGAACGAACACGTCGACTCGGGTGTTTTGACTAGCGTGTTGAACATGATTTGATAGAATCTCGAGAACAGATCCAGTTGATCATTCGACACCATGTCAAAGTCGAAACATTTGATGGATGTCAAAGACTTCGAATATTTTGGTATCCAAAGATTTGGAAGGTTATACCAGCGCTAGAGCTCTTTAAAATTACTTTCAACAAGCAGACAACTATATGCTTGGAGCAGGTACGAACGTAGGATAATGACTTCCAGCAGTTTGCAAGTTCTAACAACGTAGAGGTGCCTCAAAAGACTAAGTTGCATGTTCTTTATACGTGTTCATTTTCTAGGAATAAGCTGACAAAGATAGTTATCTTTAGATTAGTATAAATAGTAGACTCATGCATTGTAATCATGATCGCCAAAATTCATATATTTCTCTACAGAACTAAAGAACTGAGTCAAAGAGCAAAACAGTTTGTGAGGAAAATGTATAAGTTTGTGTCCCTTTCTTTCTTTGTTTTTATGCTTCCTTAATTGAAACACTTTGCTTTAATTGTTATTTACTGCATTTTTGTTTAATTTCATTTATTGCACTTTTCATTTATTATATTGATTCAAGCATTTTCACTATTAAAGTCTGTGCCCGGTTTGTCTTCGTACAGATATTCACATTCAATTCGCACACAGTTTTTCTTATACATTTGTTTCGCACAAATTGCTTCAGAGATTTTTCGAGTTAATCTCACAAGTACCCCAGTGCTACTCTGGCTATTGTATAGGACTATACGCCCCCTTATGTCCCAAGTTTTACACTACCTATAGTCACTATAGATTACCCATATGGCATGCCAACTACCATGATGGTAGGCTTGCAAAGTCAAGCTTCTACATTTGCAGACAATGCTACAACAATAGTGTCACCCATAAATCCACATTTGGCGTCACGATCTTCCATAAGCAACCCTGGTTGAATGGCGTAACCTCAAGAAGGATTTGAAATATGCTCCTCCAAGAATTTCAGCCTTAACTAAAAATTCTCTTGTATCCATGAGGCAAAAAAATGAATGAAAGTAACCACAAGATGGTAAACATGCTTACACAATAGATATGTATTATGTTTCATCCATTAAATCATAACATAAACCAGAGTAATCAATAGTTGGCCCACCAGATGGATAGAATTGCTGACTTTTTTAATGCACCTTAAGTGCCACTTGTACCATTACCTAATAATTCAGTGTTTGTCGAACAACCTCCACCGAGGGAAGTCGAAGGCAACCAAGGCCAAAATGTCTTAGAGGTAGTTATGGTGCAAAGAGACCGGGATGTTGACCAAGTCTTTAGGAACGTCCAACAAAATAACTTGGGGTGCAAAATAATATAAATAGATTTTGGCCTAAAATGGCCTTAATGTTGCCCTTCACATGCCCAATTGTGTATCTTCATTGTCAGAATATGTATGGCAGACTGAACTTCTCAGGTGATGAAAACGCCCCAAATTCACCAAATTTACTGGTGACACCAATGATTTCACGATTGAATATGTTGCTAGGTATCAGACTGAGACTGCTGATATAGCCAACAATGAAAAATATGAAAATGAAATATTTCCCAAAATCCTTGACAAAGAATTCCTTTATGTGGTTTGCCATGTTGCCACCATATTCCATATTTAATTAGAGTCAATTAGAAAGGGCATTCCATGAGCAGTTTTACATGGGTCAATCTAAAATTACCCTCAAGGAATTAGCCAGTGTGAGGCGAAAGGTGGCTGAAACAATAAATGGCTACCTAAATAGGTTTAGGATAAGGAAATCATGGTGCTTCACTCAAGTGTCTGAGCATGTGTTAGTTGAATTGGATGTAGGGGGTATTGATTATTCCATCAGGAAAAAGCCAGCACTACTACAAAATATGTTTTCGATAACACTAATTCTACTACAGTTATGCATTCCACAGTTGTAATATCGCAAATTGGATGCGTCTGATATATTTTTTATTTTTTGAAAAGTTATTTAATCATGGCTTATATAAACAATCATGGTGATAAAGTAATAGTCACAAGCGTCGAATTCTAGCAACTACATTTTTTTCTATTTTTCCTAATACAAAAAGCGCGTGTCACTTAAGTTCAAAAATAAATAAAAAATTGAACACTATTTAACCACAGTTTTAGTCTACAATCATTGTAATAATATAGACATTTCACTGTGGTTGTAAATATCAACTGTGATTAAAGTTTTTCCTGATAAATTTAAAACAAAACAGATTCATTATTTTCTTCATAACATGCCCTAAGCGAACTAGTGAACCAGCGAACCAGAGACGACAGCGATGGCGATAGCAAAATCTTCATCTTCACAATCTTCATTCATTTGAATCTTCATTTTTGATAATCTTCACTATTATCATTATTGGTCTCTTCGAAATATGGTATGTTTTGTGCAAACTTCACTCTCTTCCTCATCTTCCTAATTCTTGATAATATTCACCGTCTTCATTCTTGTTTGATTTTGTGGTTTGTTTCTTGTAAAGCTCATATTCTTTATCCATATGCTTAAGATTTAGAGTTGTATTATTGTACTGAATATGCTTTATATTTTGTTGTTGGATTTTATGGTTTGTTTCTTTCAAATTTCATATGCTTTATCCATATGCTTAAGATTTAGAGTTATATTATTGTACAAAATATGCTTTAGTTTTTCGACATGCTTTAGGTTTAGATTTTATTGTACCATTCACAATATTACTTTGATATAAATTTCAGAATTTATTATGGATCGTAGTTGGATGAAAGCTGATAGATTAGGTTCGGTATATGAGAAAAGAGTTCTTGAATTCCTTGAATACGCTGATCAAAATTTTCCTGACAATAATTATATCTTTTATTTTACTTGTGTTAATTGTGGGAATATAAAGAAAGTACAAAGGATGAGATATTTCATCACCTATAGTGTGATGGTATATGTCAAAATTATACAATATGGACGTGGCATGGTGAGGTGGAAAAAAATCGAAACCCTGTTTCACAAAGTCACGAAGTTGATAAACATGAATATATGGATGACCGTCTAGAAGATATGTTTCGTGATATTGAAGAATATTCTTTTAAGAAAACCCATATTTATGATACTTTATGTAGTGATAAGGGCACACCTTTATATAAGGGGTGCACAAGTTTTACACGATTGCCTACGGTTTAAAATTGTTTAATCTGAAAGCAAAAAATGGGTGGTCGGATAAAAGTTTCACGAAATTGCTTCATTTGCTAAAAACAAATGCTACCAGAAGATAACAATTTGTCTGATCGTTGTTATGATCCCAAGAAGATATTGTGTTCAATGGTTTTGGAGTATATTAAAATACATGCAGGTCCTAATGACTGCATATTATACAGGAAAGAGTATGAAAATTTTGATCAATGTCCAAAATGTGGGGTGTCGCATTACAAGATGAAGGACAACAATGGTGATGATAATGACAATGACAATGTTAGTAGGAAGAGGCCTCCTGATAAAGTGTTATGGTACTTGAGAATGATTTCAATATTCAAGAGACTTTTTGCTAATGCGGATGATGCAAAGAATATTAGATGACATGCAGATGAAAGAAAATGTGATGGAAACATACGCCATGTAGCTGATTCTTTGTAATGGAAGAAAATTGATTCGTTGTTTTTGGATTTTTTCACTAATGAAGAAACCTTAGGCTTGGGCTTGCCACTGATGGAATGAACCCCTTTGGTAATATGAGTACTAACCATTCTTCGTGGCATGTTCTTCTCACAATTTACAACCTATCTACTTGGTTGTGCATGAAACGTAAGTATATGTTGTTAAGTATGATGATTTCTGGACCACAACAATCTGGAAATGAAATAGATGTTTATCTAAGTCGATTAATTGAAGATCTAAGACTTTTGTAGGAGGAAGGCATTGAAGTTGATGATGCATATTCTGGTGAAAAGTTTGAGATGTGTGCAATGTTATTTTTCACAATCAACGACTTTCTTGCATATGATAATTTGGCTAGATATAGTGTCAAAGGACACAAAGTGTGTCCTATTTATGAATCTGATACATGTTATCACCAACTTGAGTTTGGAAAAAAGACTATTTACATTGGGCATAAAAATTTTCTAAAATCCGACCATTCTTATCGTAAACTGCGGAAGGCTTTTAATGAAGTGTAT